TGCCTGTCCCTTAAAAAAGGCGACCAGTATGGATGCCAGAAGTGTGTTCTGCAATGGAGCCTGCTTGCACTGGCCTTGGTAGCCCCCCCTGGGTGCACCCCCAAAGGCCTGGGCTCTTCTGCTGGGGTGACATTGTAGGAGCTGTAACTTCAGACCAGGTCAACCTAGCAGTCTCTTTGGTTGGGCCAGTCTGAAAGTTTCTGCAGAACTGGGAATTTTCACTCAAAGTTGTTGATTGCTGCACGTGAGGCTGCTTGCTCCTCCTCCTACCAACAAGAAGACCTGAGGCAGCAGGAGAGTCCTGCTTGGCCACAGGGAATTGGCCACATTGCAACTTTGACCTGCCTCAAATGCGGCAGGAGAGAGAGAACATTAAAGTGTCATCTGAAGAACACTAGGGGCCTTGGATGCTTCGGTACCTACCTTTAACTTGTGCTAAAACATCTTCCCAGGGTCTTTATTTGGAATGAAACCAGAGCCTTTTCCAAGATTTTTAAGGCAGACAGGCATGCCGTTCGGGGCATTTAGAATGCAGACCTCAAACTTGTGTGTGTCCGTGTGCCTGCATGTATGAGCAAGTGCACGCATAGCCTCTCAAGCTGAGGTTTAAAATAGACCTGGAAACTGTGATGATGGAGACACTGGGAACCTGGTGGTGACTAGGTCCTAGGATGGGATGAGGGTAGGAAAGATTAAGAAGCAAGACCAAGCTAACCTATGGAGTGTCTCATGGCTTCCTGAAAGGATCTTTCTGCCCTTCCAGGCCTGGTCCCCAGTACTCATCCTGTGATACCCTGAGCACAAGTCATTTCTGTTGGGAGGAGGAAAGATAAAATTATTAACAATCATGTTCACTCTTCATGACAGCCTTGCAGAGTGGGGATTCATTTCTGATTTGCTGAATGAGGAAACTGAGGCTGAGAAAGGTGAGGGGTCCATCCAAGTGCACGCATAGGGAAGAAGCAGACCCCTTGCCCACCTGCTCGCCCATGGCTCCAAGGCTTATATGATCAGCTCCCCCACTTCCTGGGAGGCCCTTCTCCTTTGTGGCACGGGGTTCATCTGTGGGTTCTTGGATGTTTCTGAGCTGTCCCAGGTGTCCGTTTTGTCACCTGTCACTTTTGGGGTGAGCTAAAGAAGGAAACCAACAGACATACACGCTCCCACCCCCTGGGATCTTTGTGCTCATCACTCTCTGGGTGATGGCCAACCCTGGGCACTAGGCCCTTCATCTGGGGAGGCAGGCACAGTAGGACCCTTGTCGCTGACAGCTTCTCACTAGCTCCTGCTGCACGTGAGGCTGGTTGGGGTCTGAGGGTGTCTCCAGTCTTGTCCCACCTGCTTCCTAAGAGGGACCGGGGTCTGGCCTGGCTCCTTCTGGCCTGGCCCCCAAGGAGGGTCAGGGTAGGTGGGGCTCAGCCAGAGGCCAGGTAGGCTGTCCAGACAGGGCTTCCTTTGCCTTCTTGGACTAGTGGCTCAATGGTTGTCTGCCTGCCAGGGGCTGTCTATGACCACAGCCTTCCCTCCTGACTCTGGACAGCCTAAGAAGATGCTAAGAAGCAGGTGGGGTGGGATGGGCATCCAGGCTCTGTTCCAGCTCATTCACTTGTTCCACCGGCATGTCATGGGCACCACTGAGAGTGCCAGACGCTGTGCCACTTCTGGGACTCCGATTGAGTCACTGACACAGTAAATAAAAAGGAACGACAGTGAATGGTGATAGCATCTAGGATGGAGGTCTGCACAGTGCTCAGAGGGGGCACAGAGAACCTCAGACACTTCTGGGTTTGATTCCTGGCTTAGTCACTTACCAGCTGTGTGCCCTTGAGCAAGTCACTAAATCTCTCTGAACTTTAGCCATCTCTTCTGTAGAATGGGGAAGGTGATGTATTTCATGAGGTTGCTCTGACTGTTAAATGAGACAGTGCCGGAAAGGAGGGGGCATATGCCTGGCACATGGTGGGTGATGGGGCACTGAGAGCTGCTATTGTCATCACTGTGATTGTTATTGGCTTTGTTGCCCTCCTCTGTTTATACGTCCATCTTGGAGCTCCTTGAGGGCAGGGCCTGGGCCATAGTCCTCTCTTGGCTACTCATCCTTTTCCTGACCCTTCCGGGGACCAGTCTGGCTTCAGCTCGAAGGAGCAGCCAGGCCAGGACACTTCTGCCGAGGCTGGAGCCCTGTGTAGAGCTGCACAGTCCAGTATGGTCGTCAAAACGTGGCCATTTAAATTTCAATTACTTAAATTGAAGTAAAATCAGGAAATCCATTTCTTAGTCTCACTAGCCACTTGTCAAGTGCTCAGTAGCCACACGTGGCCAGTGCCTCCTGTACTGGATGGCACAGAGCAGCATCTTTCCAACATTCCAGAAGTGCTGATTTGGACTTCATAGCAAGCCTGGAGCTCTCAGGGGACAGCTGCTCCCGAAACAGCCTCACTGTTGGCTCAGACAGCTAGCAGCCATCTCCTGAGCTCTGGGACAGCGAGAAGTTTGTAATATACAGAAACTGATTTCCCGAGAGCCCTTCCTACGCTCCCTTTCGGGTGGCTCTGCTCACCTGGCCAGGATGGTTGGTCTCCTGGCAGTCCTTATCAGCCCAGGGACGGAGGGCAGGACTGGGATTGCCCAAACTGCAGCTGTTGCCTGCTGTCCTCGCCCTGTTTCTCCAGCTGGTCCTGCCTGGCTGGGAGTCCCAGAGTGATGTTCCTAATATACAGTTTTGGCCCAGGCCAGGCTGACCCAGATGTCGCAACCCCACTCTCTCTAGAGCCCTGCCCAACCTCCACTCCGCTGCCCTCCTCTTGTGCTCAGAGCACATGGTCTCCTGCCTTCTGTTCCCTGTTCCCCCTTTTCCCCTGGGGCACCATCTCCAGGCCCAACTTTCATGGCTGGCCTTCCAGGAAGCCTTTTCTGATCCACCATGCAAAATGAGCCCTCTTGCCTTGGAAATGCCCTCCCTCGGGCCCCATTCTTGACACTCAGCCCTTTCCTCTGCATTTACTCTTGTATTTGCTCGTTAACTCCGTCAGGCATACAACAGACACTCTCAGAGTGCCAGCTACGTGTTAGGGCCGACAGAGGGGAACAGGCCACAGGCCTGGCTTGGACAGCTTCAGGTTGGTGGGAGGCCCAGAGCTGGCCAGACTCTTGCATCCAGCCCAGACAGCTCAGTCAGAGATGGAGCCAGCCCCGCTTGGGAAAGCTTCCCAAGGGAGGAGATGCTGAAGTTGAGGGGGCCGGTGCTGACTCTGGGCTATGGATGGGCCAGTCGGCAGATCTAGAGGGCTCTATGTGGCTGGAGGAAGGGATAGGATGGCAGGGAGGGAGGGGGGGCAAGAAGGGTGCAGGCGTCTGATTGATGGTACCAGTATCCCCCGCTTTTCAAAAGTTCAGTTTATGCCACTTCTCTTTTACAAGAGACCTACATTAATTAGTACCTTTTTTCAATAATAGAAATCTGAAGGTTTTTGCTTTTACAAGAAAAGGTAATTGCTTCTTTGCTTCATGCCATTTTGGTTTATGAAATGTTTCATAGGGTTGCTCTGCTTTCGGATAATGGAGGAGACCTGTATTGGACCCCATTCTGGGGGGCACAGCAAATCTAAATTAGTTCCATGTTGCTCAATTACAGGAGCCTGGAAAGCGATAGGTGCTCAGGAGATGACTGTGGGAGGAATGAACAAATGCCGAGTGAGTCCTGCGTGTGAAGGGCTGATGTGTGGCAATCAGGAAACCCCTCCCCCTTCAGAGCGACCAAGGCTGAGCCCCAGAGACATCTCAGCCAGGCTAGGCTAGAGAGGATGGGGAGAGGGGCATGGGAGAACCCAGGGTGGTTCCCAGTTCACACTGAGATGATAAATGGTCCTTTATTCATTTCTCGTTCATCCCACAAACCTTCTCTGAGCCCTCACAGGGCACCAAGGAGGCTCTAGTCTGAGCAAGAGGGATACTGACAGTCCCTGGAGGAACCAGGCTAGTATTTAGCAGTCAAGCTTCACTGGTTATTAAAATACTGCAATACTTCCGTTCTGATTGACTAAACGCTGTCATCCCAAAGCCCCGGTTCCCAGGGCCACAGCAGGCTCGGACTCTCTCCTACTAGCAACCCCCCCACGCCCCCATAACCCAGCAGTATAAAGAGTCAACAGCTGGCCTGGTGGGTGGTCTCCAGGACCTTACTCAAGGGCTGGTTCTAATTGCTCAGTACTGGTTATTAGACATTTGTAGTGTCATCGTGGTGTATAATGTGTGGTGAACTTGATTTAAAATGTCTGGTGTCCTGTCATTGTTTGGCTCATGGCTCTGACCTGTCGGGCAGGCTGGGATGGAAGCTGCCCCTCGCATCATGTGAGCGCCCAGCAGGGTCCAGCAGAGATGCTGCCACCCAACTCAATGCCAATCCCTCCCTCCCTCCCTCTCTCTCTCTCCTGCAGGCAGCCATGAGATCCAGCCGCCTGGAGCCAGGCGCCCGGGAGCCCGTCAGCCCACGCCTTCAGCCCCTGTCCCAGAGCTCCTCCAGCCTGCTGGGTGAAGGCCAGGGGCGGAGGCCAGAGCTCCGCAAGAGCGTCAGCAGCACTGTATGGCCAGCCCAGCCGGGTGAGGCTAGCGCTGGGCCCCGGGCCCCAGAGGAGGAGAGGCCCCAGGCTGAGAGCATGGAGCAGGCACCGGCCTCTAGCACCCGGCCACAGCCTGGGGCCGTGGCTCACTGGCGGAGCAGCACGGTGGGCAATGTGTCTACCATGGGTGGTGGTGACCTGTGTTGCCTACGAGACCCCAGCGCTGCCGCTGTGCAGAGGAGCCACTCGGACCTGGCCCGGAGCACCCAGACCCGGGGCCACAGCGGTGCTCGGAAGGCCAGCCTCAGCTGCTCAGCCCTGGGCAGCTCGCCTGTCCATGGGGCTCAGCTGCAGCCTAGCGGTACTTCTGGCCAGGGCGGCCAGGCCCCTGCAGTCCTGGAAAGGGACCAGGCTGTGGAGGACGGGATGTCAAACTCAGCCCAGACACTGGGGGAGAGTCAGGTGTGGGTGCCGCCACTAGACCTGGAAGGCACAGCGACCCGGAGCAGCAGCCCCAAAGCCACTGGGCAGCTGGCCACCACCTGCTGCCATGCTCTGTCCCCAGCAGCTCTACTCTGTGGCATGAGGGAGGTAGGGGCCAGCGGCTGCTGCCACGCCTTGCCTGCCCCAGGGATCCTGACCTTTCCCAAGCTAGTGGCATCAGTGAGTGAATCTGGGCTGCAGGCTCAGCATGGGGTGAAATTCCAGTGTAGGTTGCCCGGGGGGCTTCCTGGGCATTCCCACTGCTGTGCCCACCCTTGGGGTCCCACCGGGTTAGCCATGGAACCTGGTGCCAGGACCAAGGATGTGTGGACCATGACCTCAGCCAGTGACTTGGCCCCCATCTTGCTGTCCCCTCTGTCAGCCCAGGATGCTGGCGTGCAAGTGGCCCCCCAGGCAGTCTGCAAGGCGGTGGCCACCAGCCCGCCTCTGGAAGCCCCTGTGGCCCTGCACACATTCCCAGAGGTGACTGTGGGGTCCAGCCTAGAGGAGGCACCGTCCCCTGTGCGAGATGTGCGGTGGGATGCCGAGGGCATGACATGGGAGGTGTATGGAGCTGCAGTGGACCCTGAGGTGCTTGGCGTGGCCATCCAGAAGCACCTGGAGATGCAGTTCGAGCAGCTGCAGCGGGCACCTGCCAGCGAGGACAGCCTGTCTGCCGAGGGCCGCAGGGGGCCACTTCGGGCCGTCATGCAGTCCCTGCGGCACCCTAGCTGTTGTGGCTGCTCCAGTGCAGCCCCCGAGTGAGGAGCTGCAGCGCTGGGAGCTGCCCTGGGCCCATGGACTCTGCCCCTGGGACAGTGGGGGTCCCTTGCTCTTTGGACCCACTGGCAGCCACGGACATGTCTCTGCTGTCAGCTGCCTGCAGATCACAGGACTGCAGCCTGGGGGCTTCCTGCCCCCTGCAGCTGGGCTGGTTTTTAAGGGCTTGATTCCCAAGAGCCACATCTGCACATCCAATGGGCTCTGAACTGTGGGACAGTTTCAGCACTGTGCACAAGATTGATCCTAACTTTTCTGTAAAAATCCTTGACCTGTTCAGTCTCTGCTTAGAACTCTGCCATAATGATTTCCCCTAGGTCTCTTGGTGGCTTTATTTTTCACAGCAGTGCTGAGATGTAGTGCATTCCTGACATGAGAGGTGGAGCCCTGAGTGTCAAGGGCTGCCTGGGTCTTTAGGGAAGGGGATGGGCATTGGCCAAGGCCTCCCGTGGGCTACACGCTGGTTCATCCACCTTCCTTTGTGGAGTCTTCACCTCTTCCTCCGTTTTACAGATGCAATGACAGACATCTGGCAGGGCTATGCTGCCACACCCCAGGTTGGACAGTTGGGGTGGTGGGCTAAGATCAGAACTAGGGCTGGCTGAAGCCTGGAGTGCTTTCCTAGAGCACGTAGCTGCCATGAACAAGAACTTACTGAGCCCGTATTCCGTGCCAGGTTCCATGGATTCCCTGGGGAAGGAGATGGAGGCTGCCTGTGCCCTTGCTGAGCTCAGTGTGTGGGACGAGGGCTCTGAGCATTACTCAGGGCCACAGGGGACTTCTAAGAGCCAGCCACTTTGTAGGTCACTGTGTCAGGGGTTGGCCTCAGAAAGAGAGAACAGAGGTCAGCTCTCCCCAAATATGTGGCAGTGCCTGAAATTGCACCATTATCACTTCATTCCTTTGGCTTAAAGACTTACTCTCAGCTGGTGCAGTTCTTCAAAGGAGGGAGGGCAAGATTGGGTGGGGAAAGGGGAGGAGCCTGGGGTGGGGTCTCCCCCACTAGTGGGAAATGGCAGGAGGCCATAGGGGTCCAGGAGGTCCACGGACGTAATTGTCTAGTCCTGTCCAAGTGGTCCCACTGGCCAGGCAGGTGGGGGCCGGGGCATCCTGGGGACGGGGAGTCCAGGACACTGGGGCTTAGCACAGCCTGGCTTCATCGCCCAAGGAGCTCTCAAGACCTGTGGAGGGTGGGAGTGAACTGTGTCCTTGTTCTGAGGCTTAATGTTGAGGATCACAAGTTCTTGAGACAGAATCCACCAGCCCAACCTGTGAGGGAGACAGAGGTTAGTGTCCTGCCCAGAGTCACCTGGCAGGGGAGGGTGGAGTCAGGGGCACCTGCAGCTCTGCTCATGACCTGGCTGTATTCCTGAGCCCTCTTCTGCACCCAGGAACTGGGGCCTGACAGCTGGCTTGCTTTTCGCCACCCCCAAGGGCCCAGTATGCTTGAGATGGAAATGACTCATGCAACAGTGGGCTAACTTTTAAAGCCGGAGTAGCATTCTAACCCGCCAAAGGAACAAGGTGAGAAAGGCAGGCTTCGGGTCAGAATGCCTTCCAAGGTCCCAACATGGGGTCCTCTTACCCCCAAACCTGCCTTGCCACTCCCAGCTGAGGCCAGGGAAAATGCCACCCCTGCTTGAAAATGACAGCGAATCAGAGCTGCTACTGAGGGTAGAGGCTGGGGCAGAGGGGTTGGGTGTGGTGTGCAGAAGGGGACTTGCCCTTATCCCCTTTATGAAATGTGATCAAGCAGGTTCTCATGCAGTCAGTGAGGCTCTAGGCGAGGTGTGGCCGGGTTGGGGGTGGGGCGGGTCCTGTCGGTCCTGCCGGATGTGGTCCTGGGCATGTCACGCTCTGGGGAGTGACATTTCAGTACCAGGCTGCTCTCATCTCTGGCCCTGTATGGGAGCATCAGGACCATCAGCTGTGGGGACACGAGAGGAGTCGAGTGAGGAGCTGGGGTTGGGAGGGCACCTTCACACGTGGGCCAAGCTGAGCAGGGTGTTGGGGCAGTGGGGCTGGACAGGTGGGCGAGTGGGCAGGGGCATAGCAGGCAGAGAAGACAGCCTGGCCCGAGGCTTGGAGGTGTCTGTCCTGCCCAGGCTGTGTTGAGTCACGGCGGCACAGGCTGTGTTGGGGTGTTTGTTGGGTTGGGAGGCTGGCAAGGGGGTTCCAGGTGTGAGGCTCCTGGTGTGACCAAGGAAAGGGACTTTATAGGGGCTGTGGAAGCAGATTTCATTATAGAAATATCTGGTGGCTATGAGGGGAGATTCACGTGGAAGGGGTGGAGGCTGGAGACCAGGGGGGGATTTGGGGGTGGGAGCCATGGACGGGCCTGTTGGGGGAGATGGAGTGGGCAGCTGGGGGCTGGGTGCACGTGCATACACACACACACACACACACACACACACAAGGTGCATGGTGGATTCGGGAAGGAGGAGGAGTTCCAAGAAGTTGAAGTTTCCAGTTTGAGTAAAAGGAGGGGAGGCTACCACCTGAGACAAGGGGAGGCAGGCGGGAGGTTCGGGACGGGCAGACGAAGAGCCATGTGCCACAGGGTTTGGCTGGGATCAGTGAAACCCTCTGCGGAGAGACTCTCTCCTTTGTCCCATGCAGACTGGCAGGAGTGCACGCTATTTGGCCGATGGGTGCTGGGCTGCGCCACGGCAAGGCTGCGTGCACCTGGCGGGCCCGGATGGCTGGCTGGGCTGTGCCTGGCTGGGAAGGGCTAGCTGAGCCGCCCATCTTTACCTACCTCATCGAGATGGAGATAAATGTTTGCAGGGTGGTGCTGGAATCCAGCCGGGCCTGTGTCCGGCCCTGGGAACAGGACACCCGACACCCTCCTGGTTAATCTGGCCACCCCAAAACAGCAGAAATGATGTCTTAGGCCTTATTAGCCAAGATGCACAGCCTCTGTGGACAGGTCAGCCTGGAGCAACTGCAGCTTAATTTCTGAATCAACCTGGAGACACCCCACCCCCAACAGCCTTCTTGCTGTAGCCCCTCCCCAGCCAGGTCTGACTGGCAGTGGTTTAGGGTCCCAGGACATGGTCACCAGCTTCGTTTACAGATCCCCTCCACTCAGACTCCAGATTTCTGACCAGACTTTCCAAGTCCCCTTCAGGCCTGGCTCTAGGAGGGGGTGGATTTCATTATTTGTATGTTTGTTTTATTTTGAATTCGAAATAAAGTCACGGAGGTCAGGGCTTTGCCGGGGAAGGGTCCATTTGGTCCAGACTGGTCTTGTTTGTTTTGTTCCAGTAGATTCTGTCCTTTGGAGCATCCCCCAGAGTTCAGCACCTTGGTTAGTGAAATGCAGGGTTTTACATTTACCCATGTTAAATTCCTTCTTGTTTGTGACTTTGGCCCGGCCCAGTTTTGTCATCTGAAGCTATGACGAATCCTTTATCAGTTTCCATCTAACTTCTCAGGCAGCCAGACAGCCTAGGGCCTGTCACTGGGACATCCGATATAGATCAGCACTGGTCCCCAGGTCCCGACAAGTCCATCATGGTAAGTTTGTTTAAGGACAAATTTGTTAAAATCCAGGCCCTCAACATCAGTAGCACACTTTCTCACCCAAATCGTAGCCCGGGACCGTCCCCTCCAAACAAGGAAGAAGGATAGAAAGCATGGCCCGATTGAGCCTTCCTTAGCAAGTCTGGTCCTGGTGATCACTGCTTCCCTTTCTAAGATCTTGGCCACTTCTGTTTAACAAGCTTTTCTAGAAGCTTGAGATCAACAGCATGCTGAGATATGCAGACGCTACCGTATTGCTCTTTTGGAGATTGGGAGCCGCCCTGCTCTCACCCTTGGCCCTACCCCTCCTCTTCATCCTGGTCCCTGCCCATGGCACACCTGGGCTCACCTGCACGGGTCCTGGGAGGCGGCTGTGAGGGGGAGGAGCATGACGCTCACACAGCAGGTCTCTGGCACCTTCCTCACTAAGCCTTTCCCCAGGTCTGCTCCCCCTTTCTGGTGAGAATCTTTCAGAGGCTGGGTGGAGACCTCCCCGATGGACTGGGAGAAGAGGGGGCTCACTCTGCTGCTGTGGTTACACAGAGATGATAAACCATGAAAATGTCTCAGAAATTTGGATGTTTAAGAAAACTAATCAATGTAACCAAATCAAAGTTGCATTGGCCCATAGGACTGGAGATGGACTGATGGAGTCTGACTCCCTTACTCCAAGAGTTGGGTAAAGGCAAACTTGGCTCAGTTTCCCCATGATTCTCCATGACTCCTGCCTCACTCCTTTCCCTCCAAGCCCAGTGAGGATGCAGATCTGAACCCTGGAACATGTGTTCCCACATGGGTGTCCTAAAATTCATTTTTCACAGTCTCACTTTGTAGGAGAGAGGGTGGGGATTGGAGGCATACAGCAGTTGACATCTGGGGCTCAGAGTGGGTGAGTGTGTCCTATTTTAAGGCGTGTGGCTTTTGGCCTTGTACCCCTCACCCAGGCTGTCCTGGCTGGGAACTTGTCATTTCCCGACATCTTTCCTGAGAAAGGACACAGTGTGCTTTCCCAGCACCCTGTGAACGTGGCTGAGAGGGTGCAGCGCCTCCGTCAGTGTCCATCCAGGGAGCTGGGGGAGGCTGTGCAGGCCGTCCTCCCCCCTTCTTCCTTCTCTTTATGTCAAGGCTCTGCCTTACCTTCTCCCTCCTTCTCTAAGTCTCGGCACCCCCATTTTCATGAGTCTAAACCCTTTCTTCCCACCTGTTCTGTCTTTCTCTGGATAAAACCCAAACCGTCTGAGCTTGCCAAATAGCTTCTGAGCATCTGCCTAGAGAAGGAGGCCTCCCTGGGACACCCTGGGAGATTTCCGTCGCTTTTGCCCAGAGAGAGAAATCAGTTGTCAGTGGTCCTGCCGGATGCGTGAAGAGGCTTTGGTCAGGCTACAAGGTCACATTTTCAGTCCTCAGTTTTGGTGGCCTTTATTGGGCCCTGGCTGGCAAGGTCACCCAAGGGGCATGCCAGGGGAGTGGTACCCATCTGCTGGCTTTAGGCAGGCCATCTCTCTTTCATGTTTTCAGAATCTTCTTGCTTGGCTTATCATTACGTTGGGTCACGTCCTGGGCCTCAGCAGGGACCCACCCTTGCTGTCTTGTCTTTGTGCTTTCTTCCTGTATGGGACTGGGAGCCAGGGCTGGGGACAGGGGCAGAGACTTCTGTCTTTGCCACCAAGTGGACACTAAGTAGGTACCCACTGAGAAGGCCTGAGTTAGGCCCAAGTCGAGAGCCTTTGTTGGGGCTGGAATTTTCCATGGCTCACCAAAGAACTATACTTGGGGTGCTGGAGTCCAGCTGGGAAGGAGTGCAATTGCCCCTCACCCTAGGCCCACTCGACCCCTCCCCTCGAGACTTCTGCTTCCCCCGCCCTCTGTTCCCTTCTCATTTTTAGCAGTCAAGGGTCTGGGAAGGTAGTGACCAAGGGCGCCATTTTGTAGGCAAGTTTTGTGGCTTTTGTAAGCCCAGCCTGCATCTCCTGAGGAAGACTCTCTGGTTTGATTTTCTTTCCCTTCAGGCCTGAGGGAATTCAGGGAGAGGAAAAGGGACTTCTTTCAACTTCCTAATAATATAGTACAAAAAAGATTTCAACCCAACTCCCCTCTCCGCTGAGATACTCCCCTGGCCCACAGCCTCCTCCGTGGCCACACCGCTGGGCCGGGAAAGGGGGAGACAGGAACCAGCAGGGCTGTGGTCCCAGGAGGGCTGGGACGCAGAACTAGGCACATCTGAAACCCCCGGGAACACTACCTGAGCCTTGCTGAAGGGCAGGACAGCTGCCCTTTATTGGAATTTTT